AACATATCACTTACAAAACATATCACTTAGCTTTGCGAAGAAAATATGGCGATGGTGCATGCAGTCGATAAAATAGATTATTATCATAATATTCTTAAGGTATAATGATGCCCTTAGTTGCTACTGACAGTACTGTGTATAGGCGACATTCCGCGACAAGCTTGACCGCAGCTAGAGGCTATTGCCGCACGGAACATATTGTGTGCACTATAGGTAAATATCCAAGCTTGTATTTTAAATATTCTATTACCGCGCAATGCATTGCTGAATTTAAATGGGGATTTTCACGTGCATAAATGGTTTGGATATTTAATGCAGTAGGCTATTTGTACCAAATAAGTTTTGACAGCATGCAAGCATACGTTACTACGCTGGTTCGCATACAAACGAACTTTGCGTATGCGATATTCTGCATGTATAACTGTTATTGATGTCTGGTTATCATCTGTAAATAACTTGACCTTGCGCTAATTAATTTAGTCGTCTGCGCGTCAAAGAGTATAAGCAATAGTGTACAATGGAATCTCTTGTGTTTAGCTTAACATAAAATATGTATCCAGTAGCTGAAACTCAACTAAACTGAGACGGTGACCAATGACATATTGCCTATGATATTATTATCAAAGCCAGGCCATTTATTGCAATCTTCGTTTACTCTCGGTTTAGAGCCGTGTTAATAAAGCGGATGCATGCAGCATGCATGATGTGTTTATATGTCCTTAACCACCATACATATAGTTTGTCCGTGGAGAGATTACAACATCTATAACGTTGTTGCAAAAAACACGCGCTGAATATTTTGATGGGTATAGTTGCAGATGATGCATTGATTAATTTGACATAACGATGATAATTTGCACTAATAACTGAAGGCTTTCTAACGAATAAACCCGAATTTTGATACAAAATGCAAATGTACCTATATATGTATATAAGGTATAAAATAATGTGATTTAGGTAGTTTAGCTAATAAATTTAGTTAAACATTCAAATGAAGGTATAGCTATTTATATGTAGCCTACACGCATACTTGCGCCAACACATGTTACGTGTTTGAAAATATTTCCTATTAGTCAATAATATCTTGCGTCAATCATACGCGCAACAGGCGTTCAGACTAATTCGTTAAAACCGTTCATAAACATAAATCGTTCAAACGGCTTCAGATTGAACGTTTATTTATCCGTTCGTATTTTCGACTTTAAACGTTCACATTTTTAGCTGAATTCGTCAAAACGTTTTTTGGGTTCGTTGAAACGTTATGACAGATCGTTCACTACCCGTTCGTTATCCGTTCGTTTAGCCGTTTCAACGAAATATCGTTAACGTACGTTTTCCCGTGGAAGGTCACATTTCATTGAAGTTTACCGTTGCGTTGAAACTGATTCCATTCTCGCACTAAATTATAATTCGTCCTGCTATCCAGTGCAAAAAACGATGACAGAAATCGAAATAGTTGTTCCAGATCTTACCAATAACAAACGAGATTCTAGCCGCAAAAGGAAGTTTTATAAATATATGGTATTGAATCACACATCTTGTAAATGCGGCAGACTCGATGAGAGGAACCTTTATAACACCTCATCCAACAACCTTGGTGAGTATGTAGAATATAGGTCGTTGTATCATACAATTTCGGTACTGACGCGCGGGATAGTAAACGAATGTACATTAATAATACTTTTTATTTATTTAAATTCATTTGTATATTTTATTATTTAAAAATAGTTATACACGGTAGCTTATCCACTATAATTTAAGAAAGAGAATTGGTGGCTTTTCATATCGGCGGTGTGAGATTTAATATATATTCACGTTACAACAACTAATATTTATATAATAATTGTACATGCACAAGACATTACTAAATAGTAACAGAAGGAAATTATTCCAAGTACATTATTCAGCACCATGGTAGCTAAAACTTTGCTTCATTGCGTTTGTTTTTAGTTTTGCCAGTTTTAACTTTGTAAATTACTACGTAGTTAGGCCTATGTTGTTCATTTATAGTAGTGTGAAGCTGGTCTGAGATTGAAACCTCGTTTCTTAATATTTTGCGCATAAAAACACTAAAACAAGGGCGAATCAATCCGTCTTAAATAATCCAACGGTTGCAATTCAATTTGTTCACACTTCAAAACATCTTTCAAATTTATTTCCCAATTATCTCCAGTTATAACTCTCGCTGCCCTAATTTGAAGCTTTTGGAGTTTGAATTGCACAGCACCGGCATCGAATAAGCGTAGGTTCGATACCTGCCGGAGGACCGATAGTTGATTAATTTACAACTGTTCTAATTCTCAACTGTTCCCGCCGGCTTGAATGAGTTGTGTATGATTCTACCCTAAATCAAGACCCTTTAAGAACCTTCAGAATTTACCTACATCGAGTAAAGTGCAACAAAATAGTAATATTTAGGTACATTATCGAGGTATTCGATAATGAACCTACGTCGGATACCTTATATATATCGAGGTATTAAAGGAGTAGTATATTATTAATTGAGGTATTATAGTAGTGTATAGTATTAATCGAGGTATTATAGTAGTCCTATGTTTGCTTTAAACGTCGTTGTCTATGTTTTGAAAACTGACATTCCGCATTCTGCAATTAAAAACTTGGTATAGATAAACCCTTTCGAACCTTAGGGTTTAAGCGCTGGGTTGTTATAACCAGCAAAGATAAGTCTTCTACGTGTACACGATTACCAGCATGCGCATTATATCATTTCCCAAAACTAAATTTCCAGTCTTGATCGCGTATTACATCTCTTTTTTTAGTGTCAGAGAGTTATTTCATGAAAAATTATCGCCAAAATCCAAATAATTTGCAAAGTGAACGTAATTTTTGCAACAAGTCGCAAACAAGATATAAACTTCATCCAAACCATAATCTTGTCATGTACTCCTCGAAATATTTGGCGTACAAACAGTGTCTGCCTGGTTGCGTAGTGATAACCTTTGAGGATAGAGTTATTTTCACAGCACTTATTACTGGAGAATCTAAAAGGGTCGTCCTCAAAAGCGATCTGAAATGCAAAGCATATGACAATCCAATGTCAAGCGAGGGTTCCTGTTGAACAACCCTGGAGATCCATTTTATCAAGGTATTTAATCTGTACAGGTTAGCAATGAAGAAAATTATTTCGTCAGATATGTATTAACATGCAGCTTCGCTTTAAAATCAATTAGAATTCACTCCATTATTTAAACCGGGTTTAAAAAATACAGCACTTTCCCATTGGGAGCAAGACGAATATATAGAAAAATATATCCAGCTTTAATCAACAATTATGACTTACCTCCCGCGTATGCTATGACCGTATCCTGCAATGGTGCATCTATTGGAACAATGGGGTATAATAAGGGCTCTAAGAAAGCACCATCTGTAGATCCTTTAGGATCTACGTTGGTATATCTGGTATCAGTATAAAGAAAGCAGTTAAATTTGGTCACTGATTTTCTAAACTCCGGATTAAAGAACAAACCATAGACAGCCCAAATATGCGTGATAACCTACAAATAGCTGTAATGATTACTAGACTATTTCGACAAAATTGCTAAAAAATTCTCGCGTTCATAAAAATAATGTTGTAGACCATTGCTTAACATATTTTGCGAAAAAATGGTTTTATTTGAATCGTTGTAAAACTTTTGAGATAAATAATTCTGTAAAACAGACTTCTATGATTGTAAAACATTTTCGTCTCTACAACAGATTCGTTTTTTTAAAAAGTTTTTGGTCTCAGGCTCGGTGAGTGTCGCTAAATAAGACCTCAACTTCGTATGCTAATATCGATTAAAGCCACGTCTCCAAAGATACCACTAATCAGTTCTTAATTCAAGGCTTGAATATTCTTTTAGCTATTCACCGCGATTCTATCTTTTTGTCTCGGCTTTTATTCAGTGATATTAATTTCGCCTTCGGCGAGCAATTGGTAATAAAATATTAATAATATAATATTTGAACTAAAAAAAAATTATTCTATTTTTTAGTGAAAGGAAACGTGAATGTTACTTGTGGAATTGTGCTTAATTTTCGCTTCTGTTTATTATTAACATGACATTCAGCTGAAAAAATATTGATCCTACACATTTTGAAATAAGAGAGATATAATAATCATTATATAATAATAATAATTTATATAGATTACTCCTATACGGCAAACTTGTAAACTATTAGTGCTAGTTAATTTATAATCTTTAAATAATTTATCAGCACTGAAGTTCTTACCGTATCTAATTAAAATTAACTTACTTATTTGCATAATTTTCACACACCTATTTGAAAGTCCGCATATAAGCGCCATTCCCCCCGCCATTTTCATCTTAAGTAATGTGAACGAAGCTAATAGTTTTAATGTTTTGATTCATCGTTGCTCTTATCTTAACATCTCTAACTGATCTAAAGGTTCACAACAATGAAAAAAAAAAGTAGCAGCAATATTTGCAAGTATAAAAGTGTCTTTATACATGCACCTCTCGAATCCAGATATCTCACTGTCATGAATATATTTCCAAATGTACAATTCGTCCCCTGCGAATAATGGAAGCGCGTGGGAAGGGATGAAAAATTGCCATATCGGAACATTGTGTAACTTGTAGATATATTCACTTCGTTCGTTCGTTCATTCATTTGAGCCCAGCGAAAACGTGAACTCTTGGTGGAGTTAATGACCTCAAGGGTCAAGAGACAGTCAAAACTATCTGAAGAGTGAAAAACTTGCTGCGCGAGTCAAATTCCCACAAAAATGCCGGCATAAATTTGCTCATAGTACATCTGATCCCTGCATGCCAACATGTTGTACCTTGATTTTGGAGAGCGTATGTTGTGTTTTAATTATCATGTTTTGGCATAAAGAAAGTTTACTCGCAAGGCTTTGATAAGCAACTATCATAGCAAACGCTAGCTCAACTGATGATGTATCTGTAGATAACTGTGATTTAACCACAGGTAATTGTTTTCATTGGGTCAATGATAAAAACAACAACTCTTGTCAAAAAAAAAGAAGATTGAGATAATCCAGGAACGCTGGATCCAGTTGAGGTCACACTGCTGATACAGGTATGAAATAAAATGATCTCGTGACCAGTATGCACCAATATTGTGCATAGTACTCAACATCGCTTTCCAACATTATCAATTGTTATCCATCAATGCACATGCAAGATCATCATCTTCAATCGTTCCCAGCAATCTATCTCTTTGCACTATATCCATCAACTTCTATCGTAATCATCAATCCCACTTTCATCATATTATTACCAGCATCCAAATCGCAGTGATCACTGGTAGTCTGGCATATTATCACTTCCATCAGGGCCGAAACTAGAACGATAATTGGGGGGGGTGTTTATTCATATATTCAGTTCTGCCCTACGGATTTCTTTTGTAAGTGCAATAGCTCACAATGGAAATCCGTCGGGAAGAGCTGAATATATGAATAAACCCCCCCAATTATCGTTCTAGTTTCGGCCCTGACTTCCATATGCTACTCGTTACACTTATGCTTCATTTTATTCACAATTTTTTATTTCTCCTTGTCCAAACCCCGTATTTATACTAACAGATGCGCGATTCGTCGAACGAACTACACATTCAAACTATTAGGATAATTCGTGTTGACTAATGCTTCCTCCGTTCCTTAAAGTGCCTATATCACTCGTGTAATCTTAAATGCATTTGAAAAGAACGTAAAAAGTTAGTTAATATATTAAAAAACGTTTGATTTATGCAATAATTTCGAAGATACAAGCCTCTAAACTACATGCGGTTCCTGAGTCCCGACCTCCTGGGTTTAAACACGGCTATTCAATTTGAAACTGTCCATTGTTTACAGAAGCCTGGGACTCAGGATCATCAGGTAGTTTAAAGACTAGTATCTTCAAAATTTTCGCACTAAATCAAAAAACTTTTTTAATATGTTAAAGTGCCTATATCACTCGTGGAATCTTTATGCGTTTGAAAAGAATGTAAAAAGTTAGTTAATATATTAAAAACGTTTTTTGGTTTAGTGCAATAATTTTGAAGATACTAGCCTTTAAACTACCTGCAGTTCCTGAGTCCCAGGCTCCTGTAAACAATGGGCAATTTCAAATTGAATAGCCGTGTTTAAACCCAGGAGGTTGGGACTCAGGAACCGCAGGTAGTTTAGAGGCTTGTATCTGCGAAATTATTGCACTAAATCAAAAAACATTTTTTAATATATTAACTAACTTTTTACGTTCTTTTCAAATGCATCAAGATTCCACGAGTGATATAGGCACTTTAATAACAACTGCCTAAAATAGGCAAAACGCTTCTGGACGTTTCGACCTGAGGGCCTTTGTCAAGAGAGTTAGTATACTAATTCTATTCCATTTTTATGAAAATACAAGTTTTATCAAAATTTCATCAACATTTTGCGAAATAATTGTTATGCATTGACGTTTGAACAATGGCGTAGCCAGCTTGACGATTTTCTCTCGCTATGTAAATCTCGAGTTATAATTATTCATGTCTTTAGAAATCTATTGTTTTTACAGTCAGTGAACACCAAAATATTAGCATAGCGGGACAAATCGACAGGCTGGCTACGCTACTGCGTTTGAAAATACAAATTTTTGTCTTGAGCAATAATTGTGGGTGTAAATATCCTCGTATGCTCGGGGAATATTATATTTATTAATTTGAGCCGGGTGCAAACGAGAAATAACAATATTGTTCGGTGTTGATAACAACTCTAAACAATGTGGACAACATAGCATTGTTCTATCCTGTTCATATCAACATTGCATCAACCTGATTTTTTGTGCACTCTAAACAGTGCACTCTAAGGAGTGCACTCTGAACAAAAAACCAGCGGTGAATAAATTTGTGCTCAACAACCCCAGCTAGACAATAATTATAATAGTTCATGCTGAATAGTTCACGCGAATCGAAGTAATTTTAAAATGACTCTGCGAGCTGTTTTTAACTCAAACAACATTCCTAAGTGTTTGGGAAGTATTTCAACAACAAGGCAGTGTTCCAAGTTCCATTTTTTGATGACCTGATCCAAACATGGAAAAAATCCTTACACACGTTGTAATGATACATGTTATTGCTACCGAGCCTCTGCGAGGCAGCACACTATTCTTGACGTTACATGACGTTCTTACTTTTTCATGCCCAGTCCCCGGCCGAGTTATGTATTGTCGACATAAATCTCGATCTTCTTTCTGCTTTGGGAGATGTCTGTCCATTTCCAGGGAGCTCATTACTCCGGCGGCAGCGACGGAGTTGAAAATTCGCCCCGACTTTGTTTTTTTTTGTTTTTTTTTTTATTTTTCGTCGTCGCAAGTCTGAAATGGCGCGAAATGTACTAGTATTTAAAACGTGTATGTGACTGTATTTATATACGTCCCAGTCTTATCTCCCAAGAGTTGTGGTGCACAGCTTTGGCTAATTTTCCGATGCGCGATTCGATTTTGGTCGCATGATACGGCAATTCCTCCAAGAGGAACAAATAACCCTTCTTTTGATGCTGTTCCATTAAGTTTAGATTGAATTGGGGTAAGAATATATTTAATACATGTAGGTTCTGGTCCTATTTTAATAATATCGTTTCTATTTCGCCGTTTAACAAGATGATGTGGTCGTTCATGGGCGTGTTAACACGTCGTAGTTTGCACAGGATTGAAGATATAATACATAAGCGCGAATTCCAAAGGCAAAGTGTAAGACAAAGCGAATGTATCATGCAGTTTATTTACTTTTTTGAACAATTGAACTTCTATACTTTTTAAAGTACGGTGTGCTTCTGAATTTCGCGATCGAACATTTACGTTCGAGGACCTCGTGGTCGTGTGCAGACGTGTACTTTGAGCTCCGCTAAAAATATTGTGAATTCGCCAAGTAATTGCTGCTGTTAAAAAATTTCTAACTACAATTGGCTTAGTACATATTACGGTTTTAATTTGCCTACACCATGGCGAGTATAAATCAAAGCGAATCTTCGACTCAACCGACTATCAACAATCAACTCGTAGTCGAGGGATCAAAAATCAAATGGAATGGCTCCTTCGAAGATCTGAAAGCTTTTACCGAGCTGCGCTTGGGTTTAGGAGGCAACTGGACATCACCTGGTGGATCAACTAAGCTCTTTAGCAGCCATGAAATAACAATAAAATACTCGAAGAAATCGTTAGTATTGTCATTCGAAGGCGAAGCCTCTCTGAAAATCAAAGACCTAGTCAAAGACATATATCTAACTAATAAGGCAGCATCTGAACACATAGCGGACGGTGAACCCTTGACCGAAACGAGAGAGACTGTGGAAAGCGATAGCGAATTACTCGAATCACAAACAGGCGGCGAAGCCATTGCAAAACATCAAAGCTCAAAGATCGGGAATTTGCATTTCATCTCGGAGTCAACAGACAGTAATTTGCATACAAACTCACAAGATTGTAACCTGAACACTGATAAGATACAGCTAAATGATCAAAACTACACAAGTAATTTAAATAGTACAAACTTCAACAAAAACCCAAAAGAAGTTTACGAAATTGCATCTAAGCTAGAGAAATATACCCAGAGTGTTACTCAAAAACTAGAGGCTCTTGCTGATGAAATTTCAACAATTAAAGAAACTAAAGAGAACAAAGCATATGCTATCCTGGTCTTAGAGGACGTTGTTAACGAGTTAAGGAAGGAAAAACTGCAACTTAACCGGGAAAATAACGAGCTAAAAGAGAAAAATAGGAACTTGTTCCAATCTCTGTCCGAAGCTAGAGCTAAAGTACTGGACCTCCAGGAAGAGAAATCGAGTCTGATGACCTCACTGAAGCTGGTCCAACGTGAAAAAGTTCTACCGGCGGAGAGGGAGAGAATTAAAGAACTGGAAACTGAGAACGATAGTTTAAGAGCAGCTGCAAGATCCCTACAAGAAGACCTCAATGATGGAAGCAAAACACAGAAACGGGATTATACCAAAGTAAAGAGCTCTAGTAAAGATACATCTGAAAGCGTTTTTGAGTCAAAGAATCGGTACGAAGTCCTCAGCATCAGTGATCAAGAAGACGATGCCAATGATTCTGTGAGCAAAGTATCTTTAGACAAAACCTTGGAGACTGGTCATCGGAATGAGAACACTAACACAACTCATAAAGGCACAAAATCCAAGCGAAACATCCTACTAATTGGAGATTCAATGATCAAGGATATTAATCCTCACAAGATATCAAAAAGCTCAGTTCGAAAGTTAATATACCCTGGGAAAAGAGCTGAGGAAATAGCAAATGAATTCCAAAAAGCTCATGTGCTTTCCCCTCCCACAGATGTTATCATACACGCTGGAACGAATAACTTAATACAGAACTCGAGTAAAGAATGCTGCGACAATATTAAGCATCTAAGCTCCACAGTACAAAACAAGTTTAAAGATGCCAGAATCGCAATATCTGGCCTAATATCGAGAGGAGATATTGACGTAGCAACAAAGATTCATGAAACCAATAAATTACTATACAATCTATGCAAGAAAAAAGAATATACATTCATCGCAAATAAGAACATAGACGAATCCTGCCTCAATGGCTCTAAGTTACACCTTAATACAAAGGGATCAGCGCTCCTGGCTGTCCATTTTATCAAATTTCTTCGGCGACTTTCACATCCAACTGTTGAGGATTTTCCAAAGGAACTTCATCATCTGGGGGAGCTTCTGAGGATGATCATACCACAGACGCCAAGGAAAAGAATTCATCGTTAGACAAATCGTTATATGACGCGGAAAAGAGTACTTATGCCACAAATAACAATGATCTGGCGAACACGTCAATAATAGGTAGTATGGACGACCAATCTGCTGTGCGAGAGTCTGAATCGGTGCTACCGAGTGTAAATCGTAAGTGTACTAATATTAATTATAAACCATTTGGCAAAGGTCTAGTAATGGCCTCACTAAATATTAATAGCCTTTTTGCGCATATTGATGAATTTCGAATATTTATGAAAGAATCTGATATTGATGTTATCTCAATTAACGAAACAAAGCTTGATTCTTTAATTGGAGATAACGAAGTCCATATACCCGGCTATGAAATAGTAAGGAAAGATAGGAGAACAAATGGGAGACATGGGGGTGGTGTTTGTTTCTATGTAAGATGCAACCTTAATTACAAAATTTGCGATGATTTAAGCTCTGACGATTTAGAATATTTAACAGTTGAAATAACTAAGCCTCGGTCTAAATCTCTTTTAATTAGCACTTGGTATCGACCTCCAGATCTGCCAACGTATTACTTTGATTATTTTGAGAAAATAATACAGAAGGTAGATTTGACGAATCATGACTACTTTCTATTAGGTGACATAAATGCGGACCTTATGCCGGGAGCAACATCAGCCAATGCTAATAAATTAAATGATATATTTGAAATTTTTGGCCTCACACAACTAATTAAAGAACCCACTAGAACTACACCATATTCCTCAACGCTAATTGATCTTTGCGTTTACAATGCCCCAACAAAGATCATAAACTCAGGTATAATTGATCTTTCCATAAGTGATCATGTTTTAGTTTATATGACACATAAGGTTCATTATAAGAAAGCGGAAGCGCGATTAGTTGAAATAAGGAGTATGAAAAATTTTCATAGAGGAAACTTTATAGGAGATTTAAAACAACAGCAATGGTTAGAATTAAATTTGTGCAATGAACCTAATGAAATGTGGGTAAGATGGAAAGGGATGTTACTTAATTGCATTGATAAACATGCTCCACTCAGATTAAAAAGAATTGGGAAAAAGAAATCCCCTTGGATAACTAATCAATTAAAACAAAAAATGTGCCAGAGAGATTTTTTGAAAAAGAAAGCAAAAATGACTGGAGACACATTGATTTGGCAACAATATAAATCATTAAGGAACTCTACGAATAATGAAATTAAAAAAGTGAAAAGTCAATACTTTACTGATAACCTTGAGACCAACCAGAACAATCCAAAGTCAACTTGGAAACTTATTAATGAATTAAGCTCTCGTAATAATTCTAGTCATAAGACCATATCTAATATTAGAATTGGCGAAGAAACAATAAACGCGCCTAAAGACATAGCCGAAATGTTTAATTCTCACTTTGCAAAAGTAGGTGAGAATTTAGCATCTGATATACCACCATCTGCTGTGGAACCGGAGGTTTATATTGAGCCAACTGAAACCACATTCTCATTGACACCCCCCACAATAAATACAGTTTGTAGTAAATTAAGAACGATTAACGAAAAGAAAGCATCAGGTCTGTATAAAATACCCTGCAAACTTTTAAAACTTGCAGCTGAAATCGTTGCCCCATCATTAACTCTAATATTTGATAAGATTATAACTACTGGCATATTCCCAACGGAATGGAAGTTAGCAAGAGTTACGCCGATTTTTAAGAAAGGTAGAAAAGATGATATGGACAACTATCGACCAATATCCGTAATTTCATGTGTTGCTAAGATTTTTGAAAAACTGATTTTTGATCAGCTATATGAGTATTTAAATGCTAATAATTTGATATCCAAAATCAATCCGGTTTTCGATCATTGCACAGTACATTAACTGCCTTTTAGAAGCAACGGACAAATGGTCAATCAACATAGATAATGGCCTACTCAATGGAGTGGTCTTTATCGACCTCAAAAAAGCATTTGATACCATTGATCACACCATTCTCTTACGGAAGTTAAGAATATATGGTGTTGACCAAAGCGGCATCACACTCTTTGAATCATATCTAAGCAACCGTGGCCAAAGATGTTGCGTAAATGGTGAATTATCTGAGGCTGTTAAAATAAGTTGTGGTGTGCCTCAAGGTAGCAACTTGGGGCCACTATTGTTTTTAATTTACATTAACGATTTGCCTAATTGTCTGGAAAGAGCCTCTCCGAGAATGTTTGCTGATGATACCAATATAAGTATTGCGGCAAAATCTGTAACAGAGCTTGAATCAATAATTAACTCTGAATTGAAAAATCTTAATCAATGGCTCATAGCTAACAAACTGAGTCTAAATGTCGCTAAAACGGAATTTATGATAATTGGATCTCGTCAACGGTTAATGATACACAATAATGAACAAATAAACATTGAAATTGACGGGAAGATAATCAAGACAGTTAAAGCTACGAAATCATTAGGATTACAAATTGATGAGCACCTAGTATGGGCGCGACACGTTGAAGGCATTTCCAAAAAGGTTGCGTCGGCAATTGGTGCTCTTAAAAGGATACGCCAGTTCATAGATACAAGCACTGCCCTCAAAATTTACGGAGCTTTGATTCAACCGTATTTTGATTATTGTAGTTCAGTTTGGGATGGTTTAAATATCACGTTAAATGATAAATTGCAAAAACTGCAAAATAGAGCAGCGAGGGTAATTACCAAATCTGGATACGATGCAAGTTCCAGCGACCTTTTCACTAAACTAGGTTGGGACAATCTTTCGACACGCCGGAAAAAACACAAGGCTGTAATAATGTTCAAAATTCTTAACGATTTAACACCGAATTATCTCCGTAATTTATTTGAATTCCACAGCACAGGATACAATTTGAGAAACTCTGAAAATGCTTTATTTGTACCAAAACCGCGAACAAATTATGCTAAACGAAGTTTTAGTTATAGTATCGCGGTGTTGTGGAATGAGTTACCTCAAAATGTACGAGCATTATGCTCTCTTAACCAATTTAAAAGGGAGATTGACAACATTTTTTCCCTATAAAACAGACTCTCGCACGGCAATCTTGTAAATCAGTTTATATATCTGTATTTTAAATTGTATTGTATTGTGTTGTATTTAGTAATTTTGTCCCTAAATATCTAATGAATGTATATAATTATAGCCCACTTTTTATACTGTAGATTTTACCGTGCTTAAATAAAGTTTTGATTCATTGATTGATTGATTGATTGATGTTTGTTTACTTATCTACAGTCCCCCGCTCTACCAACTGAGCTATCGAAGGCTGATAACGGCCAGCTTCTTTATTGATCAATCAATATTTGTCATACAATAGTTAATAGAATTTTGATAATATTATTAAAAACTTAGGTATGAATATTATTTTAAAAATTTTTACGAAAAACATTCAACGGAAAGCCACGGTTTTTTGAAGCATGATTTGAGATCCAAAGCACAATATTTTGGAGGATGCGGGCGTCGATCCCGCTACCTCGCGCATGCTAAGCGCGCGCTCTACCATTTGAGCTGATCCCCAAATTGCTGCCTTTCCTTAAATCTTTTCCAGCATGTGTTAATTGTTCTGCTTGTCCTGACGAACTAAGACATAGTCTCCTATCTTAATTTCACTTTCTTTTACGTTTCTTTTTTCATTCGCATATTCTTTGTTGTATCGCTGTCTTTCCATTTCATTCTTTTTAGCAATATTGTGTTTGTTAACAAAGTTCCGCTTTTTCAATTCTGGAAGCTTTCCTTTCACTGCACGGGTAAATAGTAATTCCGCTGGTGGAACTTTCGTGGAAGAGTGTGGTGTTGTCCTGTACTGTAACAAGAAACGATGTAGCTCTTGCTGCCAGAGTCTTCTTTCAATGTGAGTGGTTCGTAGCGTTTTTCCAAGGGGCTGCATGAATCTTTCCGCTTCTGCATTGCCCTGGGGCCATTTAGGTGTTGAATGAATACCTTTAAATCCAAGAGCTGTCAAATAGCGATTATATTCTGCACTATTGAAAGGTTGTTCACTGTCTGTCTTGATAGTTGTTGGGATGCCATGACGGGCGAACATTTGATCTAATTTGGGTATGACCGCGGAAGCTTTTGTCGAGCGTACTACTTCCACTTCGGGATATCTGGAATAGCGATCAATTGCGACCAGAAGGTATTCTCCCGAAGGAAGTGGTCCGTAGAAATCCAAATGTATCGTTTCCCATGGTACCTTTGGCATTGTTGTTTTTGATATTGGCTCTTGTGGTGGTGCTTTACCCACTGCCTGACAAGGAATGCACTTCTCGATTGTTGCTTGCACCATTTTATCAATATTCGGAAACCAAATCTTTTCTCGGATTAATGAGTTCGTTTTGGTAATGCCAAGATGAGTTTCGTGCGCAATGTCAATCGCACGTTGCTGTAGCGATTCTGGTATCACTATACGAGAACTACGAAGAACCACGCCCTTTGTTGTAACAGTAAGTTCGTCTTTTACTTGTTTATAAGGCTTGACTACCTCGTAGTGCCACTTGTTGAGCTTTATAGCTGCCCGAACTCCTCGTAAAGTTTTGTCCTTGTTCGTTGCTTCTTCGATTTCCTCTATCGTCAGTGCTTTCGGAACACTGGAGCGAGCAATAAAGGTTATGTGCTCCTCAGTCATTTTCTGCTGTTTGTAGCTTTTTCCTGTTGGGTGGCGCGATAGATAATCAGCCGGATTGTTAGCTCCTGGCTTGTATCTTACTTGAAAAGCATAAGGTTGTAAGCGTAACACCAAACGTTCTATTCTTGCTGATGTTTTGGAGTTTCTGTTGCCATAGATTACTTCTAGTGGTTTATGGTCTGTGATTAGAACGAATTCGTTTCCGTACAGGTATAGATGAAAATGTTCCACTCCCCAAATAATAGCCAGCGCCTCTCTCTCGGTTTGGGGGTATCTTTGTTCGACTTCTGTTAATGCTCTACTCGCATATGCCACTACTTTCTCGTCGTCTTTTCCTTTGTTTCTCTGCGAAAGGATTGCTGATATGCCGACTGGACTCGCATCAACCGTTACCAGTGTCTCTTTATTTTTGTCAAAATATGCCATGCACGATGCTGAAGCTAAGGTGGAAGTTAACGTGTTGTATGCGTTCTGATGAATGTCGGTCCACACGAAAGGTGTATTTTTCTTCGTTAATTGGCGCAATGGAGCTGTAATGGTTGCAAATTTCGGAATATACTTGGCACTGTAGTTTGCGATGCCGAGGAGACTTCTTACTTCAGAAATGGTTTTGGGTACCGGCGCGTTCTTTAAAGCTTCTACACGTTTGGGGTCAGGTTTGCTGCCGTCTTTGGAAAATACTTGTCCGAAAAACTCCAGTTTGTCATTCAAGAAGCTACACTTAGCTTGATTCAAGCGTAGTCCTTTGTCGGAGATTCGTTTTAGACATTTATTCAAGTTTGTGTTATGTTCTTTCTGTGTTTTGCCATATACTAAAATGTCATCAGCTATATTCTTTACTCCGACTAATCTTTGCAATTGGGTTTGTAAAGTGTACTGGAAAATCTCAGCAGCTGCATTGGTTCCATAGTTCAGCCTTTTGTATCGAAAAGACCGATGTGTGTACTGAATGTCAGGGGTGGATCCAGCACTAGTGCACTAATTTGCACAAATAACCACTTTGTTTTGTAATGCAAATTTATGCACTAGTGCTGGATCCACCCCTGCTGAATGTAGTAATGTAACGACTGTCCTCGTGTAGTTCTAGCTGATGATACGCCTGTGTAAGGTCTAATTTGGAAAAACACGTTGCTCCATTTAACTCAAAGTTGATGTCCTCAACTGTTGGAATAGGGTGTCGTACCCGACCTTTCCTTAAATCCATTCCAGCAATTGTTAAAAGATAAATCCCTCTTTACGAAATTAAAAATTGAATTTCTAAGTTTAAATCGTGTAGCATGGCACCTAATTTATAGGTGTAATGCCAACATTTTCTTGAACATGCATAACGCAAAATGAACTCCTTTAAAACAAAATACGTTGATTCAAAATATGTTTCATACAGCGGATCTGGAGTAAGGTTATTGCCAAAATTGACTACAATATGTGGCGTTGCGCTGGTGGTTCAGTGGTAGAATTCTCGCCTGCCACGCGGGAGACCGGGGTTCGATTCCCCGCTAGCGCATGAAATTCCCCTCGGATGCATTGTCCTAATCAATAACACCCATCCTGTGGTTTCTCTTTTGCGCTTGATGTGTCGTACCAAAATCATCAGAAGAAACGGGTAATTTTGAAATAAAACGACATTGGTACGTAAGGCATAGCAAGTTCCCATGTGGTCTAGTGGCTAGGATATGGCGTTTTCACCACCATGGCCCGGGTTCGATTCCCGGCGTGGGAAACCCGTTTTTTTATTATGGCCGGCAAAAAGAGATTACGGCAATAAAATTAACACTTGAATGAGTATTATTCCAGGACCCGAACACTGACAAGGATAGGAAGAATCGCCATTAATCGAGCTTGTTAAAAAGAAAATTGATATTTTGAACGAATAAAGTTGTGTCGCATTTTCGAGAATTTAATGTGTTTTTAATTGATGAATAGGGAAAAAAATATGGAGGATGCGGGCATCGATCCCAATACCTCGCGCATGCAAAGCGCGCGCTCTTCCATTTGAGCTAATCCCCCAGAGCCGCCGTAACGCATGGAAATCTATTGTTACGATGACACATATCTATTTTGTTTTTTTTACATTTGATTACCCAAACAAACTATTTGCGAAAACTGCGAAATTAAAGCATTATTTTCAATATTTTGCAGACATACCAATTAAGCTAACCGGCAATGTCTTTCAAATTATTTCCTGCCGAAACCCGGGATTGAACCAGGGACCTTCAGATCTTCAGTCTGACGCTCTCCCACCTGAGCTATTTCGGCATACAGCTTAAAACGTGTATTCATATTCTTCAGGCGTTTTCGATCATCCACCTAGTTCCCTTGCTGCACACAACAACGGAGCATTCAGGGCAATTTCAAAATGTCAGGTTGTTATAAATATGCATACATATATTTAATAAATTTCTACTCCACTGCCAGTATATAAATTTGACTTAGGGAAGTAAAATATTTTTAAAAATCTTTTCCATGGAACTGTCCTTTGAACCGGATTTGAACCAGTGACTTAGGGATGTTTGTTTACATATCTACAGTCCCCCGCTATACCAACTGAGCTATCGAAGGCTGATAACGGCCAGCTTCTTTATTGATCAATCAATATTTGTCATACAATAGTTAATAGAATTTTGATAATATTATTAAAAAGTTAGGTATGAATATTATTTTAAAAATTTTTACGAAAAACATTCAACGGAAAGCCACGGTTTTTTGAAGCATGATTTGAGATCCAAAGCACAATATTTTAGAGGAATCGGGCGTCGATCCCGCTACCTCGCGTATGCTAAGCGCGCGCTCTACCATTTGAGCTGATCCCCCAATTGCTGCCTTTCCTTAAATCCATTCCAGCAATTGTTAAAAGATAAATCCCTCTTTACGAAATTAAAAATTGAATTTCTAAGTTTAAATCGTGTAGAATGGCACCTAATTTATAGGTGTAATGCCAACATTTTCTTGAACATGCATCGCAAAATGAACTCCTGTAAAACAAAATACGTTGATTCAAAATATGTTTTATACAGCAGATCCGGAGTAAGGTTATTGCCGAAATTGACTACAATATGTGGCGTTGCGCTGGTGGTTCAGTGGTAGAATTCTCGCCTGCCAAGCGGGAGACCGGGGTTGGATACCCCTCTAGCGCTTGAAATTCCCCTCGGATGCATTGTCCTAATCATTAACACCCATCCTGTGGTTTCTCTTTTGCGCTAGCTGTGTCGTACCAAAATCTTCAGAAGAAACGGGTAATTTTAAAATAAAACGACATTGTTACGTAAGGCATAGCAAGTTCCCATGTGGTCTAGTGGCTAGGATCTGTCGTTTTCATCGCCATGGCCCGGGTTCGATTCCCGGCATGGGAAACCCGTTTTTATAATTATTGCCGGCAAAAGGAGATTATGGCAATACAATCAACACTTGAATGAGTATTATTCCAGGACACGAACACTGACAAGGTTAGGAAGAATCGCCATTCATCGAGCTTGTTAAAAAGAAAATTGATATTTGAACGAATAAAGTTGTGTCGCATTTTCGAGAATTTAATGTGTTTTTAATTGATGATTAGGGAAAAAAATATGGAGGATGCGGGCATCGATCCCGCTACCTCGCGCGTGCGAAGCGCGCAATCTTCCATTTGAGCTAATCCCCGAGAGCCGCCGTAACGCATTGAAATCTATTGTTAGAATGACACATATCTATTTTGTTTTTTTTACATTTGATTACCCAAACAAACTATTTGCGAAAACTGCAAAATGAAAGCATTATTTTCAATATTTTGCAGATATACCAATTAAGCTAACCGGCAATGTCTTTCAAATTAATTCCTGCCGAAACCCGGGACAGAACCAGGGACCTTCAGATCTTCAGTCTGACGCTCATCCACCTGAGCTATTTTGGCATACAGCTTAAAACGTGTATTCATATTCTTCAGGCGTTTTCGATCATCCACCTAGTTCCCTTGCTGCACACAACAACGGAGCATACTGGGCAATTTCAAAATGTCAGGTTGTTATAAATATGCATACATATATTTAATAAATTTCTACTCCACTGCCAGTATATAAATTTGACTTAGGGAAGTAAAATATTTTTCAAAATCTTTTCCATGGAACTGTCCTTCGAACCGGATTTCAACCAGTGACCTATATAGGGATGTTTGTTTACTTATCTACAGTCCCCCGCTCTACCAACTGACCTATCGAAGGCTGATAACGGCCATATTTTTTATTGATCAATCAATATTTGTCATACAATAGTTAATAGAATTTTGATAATATTATTTTAATATTATTTTTAATAGAATTAATAATAGTTAATAGAATTTTGATAATATTATTTTAATATTATTTTTTATTTTTTAATATTATTTTTATTTTTTTTTAAAAAAACTTAGGTATGAATATTATTTTTAAAATTTTTACGAAAAACATTCAACGGAAAGCCTATGTTTTTTGAAACATGATTTGAGATCCAAAGCACAATATTTTGGAGGATGCGGGCGTCGATCCCGCTACCTCGCGCATGCTAAGCGCACGCTCTACCATTTGAGCTAATCCCCCAATTGCTGCCTTTCCTTAAATCTTTTCCAGCAATTGTTAAAAGATAAATCCCTCTTTACGAAATTAAAAATTGAATTTCTAAGTTTGATTCGTGTAGCATGGCACCTAATTTATAGGTGTAATGCCAACATTTTCTTGAACATGCATCGCAAAATGAACTCCTGTAAAACAAAATACGTTGATTCAAAATATTTTTCATTACATACAGTGGATCCGGAGTAAGCTCATTGCCGAAATTGACAAAAATATGTGGTGTTCCGCTGGTGGTTCAGTGGTAGAATTCTCGCCTGCCACGTGGGAGACCGGGGTTCGATTCCCCGCTAGCGCATGAAATTTCCCTCGGATGCATTGTCCTAATCAATAACACTCATCCTGTGGTTTCTTTTTCGCGCTTGCTGTGTCGTACCAAAATCATCAGAAGAAACGGGTAATTTTGAAATAAAATGACATTGGTACGTGAGGCATAGCAAGTTACCATGTGGTATAGTGGCTAGGATATGGCGTTTTCACCGCCATGGCCCGGGTTCGATTCCCGGCGTGGGAAACCCGTTTTTTTTTTATGGCCGGCAAAAAGAGATTACGGCAATACAATCAACACTTGAATGAGTATTATTCCAGGACACGAACACTGACAAGGATAGGAAGAATCGCCATTCATCGAGCTTGTTAAAAAGAAAATTGATATTTTGAACGAATAAAGTTGTGTCGCATTTTCGAGAATTTAATGTGTTTTAATTGATTGAATAGGGAAAAAATATGGAGGATGCGGGCATCGATCCCGCTACCTCGCGCATGCAAAGCGCGCGCTCTTCCATTTGAGCTAGTCCCCCAGAGCCGCCGAAACGCATTGAAATCTATTGTTACAATGACACATATCTATTTTGGTTTTTTTACATTTGAATACCCAAACAAACTATTTGCGAAAACCGCAAAATGAAAGCATTATTTTCAATATTTTGCATACATACCAATTAAGCTAACCGGCAATGTCTTTCAAATTAATTCCTGCCGAAATCCGGGATTGAACCAGGGTCATTCAGATCTTTAGTCTGACGCTCTCCCACCTGAGCTATTTCGGCATACAGCTTAAAACGTGTATTCATATTCTTCAGGCGTTTTCGATCATCCACCTAGTTCCCTTGCTGCACACAACAACGGAGCATACTGGGCAATTTCAAAATGTCAGGTTGTTATAAATATGCATACATATAATTATTTAATAAATTTCTACTCCACTGCCAGTATATAAATTTGACTTAGGGAAGTAAAATATTTTTCAAAATCTTTTCCATGGAACTGTCCTTCGAACCGGATTTGAACCAGTGACCTAGGGATGTTTGTTTACTTATCTACAGTCCCCCGCTCTACCGACTGAGCTATCGAAGGCTGATAACGGCCAACTTCTTTATTGATCAATCAATATTTGTCATACAATAGTTAATAGAATTTTGATAATATTATTAAAAACTTAGGTATGAATATTATTTTTAAAATTTTTACGAAAAATATTCAACGGAAAGCCACGGTTTTTTGAAGCATGATTTGAGATCCAAAGCACAATATTTTGGAGGATGCGGGCGTCGATCCCGCTACCTCGCGCATGCTAAGCGCGCGCTCTAACATTTGAGCTAATCCCCCAATTGCTGCCTTTCCTTAAATCTTTTCCAGCAATTGTTAAAAGATAAATCCCTCTTTACGAAATTAAAAATTGAATTTCTAAGTTTGATTCGTGTAGCATGGTACCTAATTTATAGGTGTAATGCCAACATTTTCTTGAACATGCATCGCAAAATGAACTGCTGTAAAACAAAATACGTTGATTCAAAATATGTTTCATACAGCGGATCCGGAGTAAGCTTATTGCCGAAATTGACAAGAATATGTGGTGTTACGCCGGTGGTTCTGTGGTAGAATTCTCGACTACCACGCGGGAGACCGGGGATCGATTTCCCGATGGCGCATGAAATTCCCCTCGGATGCATTGTCCTAATCAATAACACCCATCCTGTGGTTTCTTTTTCGCCCTTGCTGTGTCGTACCAAAATCATCAGAAGAAACGGGTAATTTTGAAATAAAACGACATTGGTACGTAA